ACATATCATGAACTTCTTGCCTTTCTCAAACCCCGTAACCCTGATTCTGCTAAGGGACTCGATAAGATATCATATAGAATGCTCCTAGCTTTACCTACTGTGCAATTAGAAAACCTTGTTTCCTTGCTTAATTCTACTTTAGACCTAGGTAATATTCCAAATAATTGGCGTAGAATAAAAGTTATTCATGTGCCAAAGAAAAACCTTGACTCTTCTATAATTACTAACAATAGACCTATTTGCCTTCTAAGTGTAATTTTCAAATGTTTAGAGGGCTTAATTAAATCGAGTATGGAGAATCACATTAATAGACACGAAATTCTCCCTCCAAAGTCCTATGCTTTTAGGAAAAACCATTCAACATCGCAATGTATCAATGATGTGATCAACACTATAGCTAATTTAAAAGATCGTGGCTTCCATGTTACAGCTGCAGTTCTTGATTTAAACAAAGCTTTTGACGCGGTCAAAATTCCTATCCTAGGTAAAAAATTAGTTAATTTAGATTTTAACCACTCCCATATTAAATTCATTATCAATTTCCTTAATAAAAGAATTTTAACTTTGGGTAAGGCAGTGGTTACAGTCGACAAAGAGGTTAGTCAGGGAAGCTGTCTTAACCCAATTCTATTTAATCTTTACACTCTTGAGCTTCATAAGCAACAATCATGACAGTACTCTTTTCCAGTACGCGGACGATGCTATGACATGGTTTTTTCGTTGGCATAATCTAAATTAGAGCATAAAGTGAATCTTTTTATGGAAATATGCAATTTAATGAATCTTTCATTTAATGCAAATAAATCAGCCACTATACACTTTAACCATAGGAGAAGACCTCTTAACGTACAGTGTAATAACATCACCTTAAATAATGTAAATAGTGTCAACTATTTGGGTAGAATCATAAGTTCTAACAACTCGTCTGTACCACATGTTAAAAAAAATTATTTCAAAATCAAATTAAACAAATATGTTTCTACAAATGCTAAGTGGTTGCCACTTCGGAGTTCATCCAAGTAAATCGTTTTTTTTTATAAAGCTTTTATAAGATCTCGGTTTGAGTACGCCTAAATATATAAACCTTTTTAATCATATTGCTCCCATCAACCCTATTTTTACTTTCCCTCACAAATTATCCCTAGACACAAATTTTTTTAAAGGTGCCTGCGTTAACAAAAAGCAAGCTAATGAAGTCATTGTTTTTACTTTGTTGAACGAAAAATTGAATTCTTTTAATAACTTACACATGGAAATTTTTTACACGGACGGTTCAGTCTCAGAAAATTTTACAGGTTATGCATTTGTTCATTCAAAGTCAAATACTGTTGATAGTTTCTTTACTAACAAAAAGCTGTCGTCTATGACCGCTGAACTTTTAGCCTTGGAAAAAGCCATTGATTTTGCAATTTCCAACTGCTTTCCGAAGATAGCCATACTGACGGATAGCCTTGGTGCTATACAAACTCTACAAAATAACGGCTCCACCACTTATATAGCCCAGGAAATATTCTCCAAAATCGAAAATTGTCCCATGCTTTCAAAGGTTGTAGTTCACCACATACCCAGCCATGCGAATATTTGGGAAAACGAAATTGCTGATAGAGCAGCAAAAAACGCTTCTATACACAGCTCCTTCAAATATGTTAGATGGACATTGAGTGATGCGATCAACTATATATTTCATTATATTAAAAATGATTGGGAAAGAGACTATAACGTTTTCTCTATGGAACGTAATAGAGGCTATTCCAACTTTAGGACTTTCATCACCAAGAAACCCTGGTTCTATAAAACGGATATTTTCGGCCGTTAAGACACAAAACGATTAAATAGAATCCTAAGCGGACATGCGTTCGATAAGTACACTTTATCAAAAATGAATGTTTTTGACAATGCTTTTTGCGACACATGCGATGCAGTGGAAAATATTTCACATCTTATTTTAAATTGTTCAAAATACTTAAGCATTCGCCGCCATTTTCCAACACTTTTAAAATATAATGATATTTATCGCTTCTTTGCAAATGAACCAATCGACAACTACATATCGATAACGTCGTTCTTAAAGCAAGCCAAAATTAATTTATAAAAATTATTGTCTTTAATGCAAGCGCAATTTTTAGATCTCCTGAAATAAGATTTCATACATTGGCTGTGGCGTTAACCCGTTTAAACGGAGAGGCCAAATAATTCTTCCACTACAGGAAGTAACTTAATATAAAAAAAAACAAGAAAGCAAAGCTAACTTCGGGCGGAGCCGAAGTTGATATACCCTTGCAGCTAAAACCGGATATATATCGCAAACATCGGATATAGTTGGCCGATCCTTATGATTACATCATAATAAAACCAATTAATTACAATAAAAAATCTAAAAAAAAGTGCCAAGCTTCTATCTTCAAAAATATGAAAGTTCATATTTCTACCAAAAACCATTTCCGATCGTACAGTTATATGTCAGCTATAAGATATAGTCAACCGATCGTTATGAAATTTGGTACATCGGATTAACTGACTAAAAATAGAATGTGTACCAAGTTCCAGTTTTCTATCTTCAAAAACACGAAAGTTGGGTCATTTCCGATCGTTCAGTTATATGGCAGCTATAGGATATAGTCGGCCGATCCTAATGAAATTTTGTAGGTCGGAATAACTGACCAAAAATATAATCTGTACCAAGTTCCAGCTTTCTATCTTTAAAAACACGAAAGTTGGGTCATTTCCGATCGTTCAGTTATATGGCAGCTATAGGATATAGTCGGCCGATCCTTATGAAATTTGGCATGTCGTAATATTTTGCCAAAAATAGCTCTCATGTCAAATTTGAACTCTCTAACTCTAAAAACACCAAAGTTATACCATTTCCGATCAATCAGTTATATGGCAGCTATAGGATATAGTCGGCCGATCCCGGCCGTTCCGACTTATATACTGCGTGCAAAGGAAAGAAGGGTGTGTGCAAAGTTTCAAGACGATAGCTTTAAAACTGAGAGACTAGTTCGCGTAGAAACAGACAGACGGACAGACGGACAGACGGACATGCTCATATCAACTCAGGAGGTGATCCTGATCAAGAATATATATACTTTATAGGGTCGGAGATGTCTCCTTCAGTGCGTTGCACACTTTTGGACAAAATTATAATACCCTCTGCAAGGGTATAAAAATAAATAAAACAAGAAAGGAAAGCTAACTTCGGGCGGAGCCGAAGTTTATATACCCTTGCAGTTAAAACCGGATATATATCGCAAACATCGGATATAGTTGGCCGATCCTTATGGGAATAGGAATATATACTCCAATTTGTTACAATACAAAATCTAAAAAAAGTCCCAAACTTCTATCTTCAAAAATACGAAAGTTGATATTTCTACCAAATACCATTTCCGATCGTTCAGTTATATGGCAGCTATAGGATATAGTCGGCCGATCCTAATGAAATTTGGTAGGTTGGATCAACTGACCAAAAATAGAGTCTGTACTAAATTCCAGCTTTCTATCTTCAAAAAAACGAAAGTTGGGTCATTTCCGATCGTTCAGTTATATGACAGCTATAGGATATAGTCGGCCGATCCTTATGAAATTTGGCATGTCGTAATGTTTTGCCAAAAATAGCTCTTGTGTCAAATTCGAACTCTCTAACTTTAAAAATACCAAAGTTATACCATTTCCGATCAATCAGTTATATGGCAGCTATAGGATATAGTTGGCCGATCCGGGCCGTTCCGACTTATATACTGCGTGCAAAGGAAAGAAGGGTGTGTGCAAAGTTTCAAGACGATAGCTTTAAAACTGAGAGACTAGTTTGCGTAGAAACAGACAGACGGACAGACAGACAGACGGACAGACGGACAGACGGACATGCTCATATCAACTCAGGAGGTGATCCTGATCAAGAATATATATACTTTATAGGGTCGGAGATGTCTCCTTCACTGCGTTGCACACTTTTGGACAAAATTATAATACCCTCTGCAAGGGTATAAAAATTCTTGCCCCTATTCAAGTTACTAAGTTAGTTCTTGAAAACATTCTAAATACAAATTCCAAAGATTGAGTTTCAAGGGATTGGACCCATGTAAACACGAGATAAGCAGCATAGTTTAAAACCGTTCCCCTGTAGCCTAACACAACTACATAAGTGGTGCGTTGTCGCACTTAAGAAAGGGTCGCATAGCAGGTCAGCTTGCAGTGCGTTGATAAGTAGTTTTAAATAGGTTAAAGATTTTCATGTATCCTACTTATAAAGGAACTACCAAATAAAATCAGTTTCTAAACACAATTCATTGGAGTACGACCTTATTTTGGGGCTCCTCTTAACATTGTATATAAAATTTCTAAAGATAGAGTTTTAAGGGAACGGACCCATGGAAATACGAGACAAACAGTATGGTCTAAAACCGATGCTGTGCAGCCTACACAAATACATAAGTGGTGCGCTTATCGCAAGGGTCGCATAGCAGGTCTGCGTGCAGTGCGTTGATAAGTAGTTTTAAATAGATTTAAGATTTTCATGTATCTTTCTTATAAGAATTTTACAAAAAAAAAAAAAACAAAAAAAAAGAAATTCATTGGAGTAAGACCTTTATTTGGGGCTCCTCTTAACAATAAGTGATAGAACTATCCGATTTGGAACGTGGATCCGTACGATATCCCCGCAGATCAAGTTTATGTCAACATTTTGCAACGCCCCCTCCCGCCCCCAAAACAGATATCTGGTTGTAGCGCAAGTCCGTTAATTTTTTTGGAAAATGTTTTGATGCCAAACTGTTTGAATGGCTAATCTACACCTATAAATCAAAAAGCACTACGTTGCACACTTTTCAACAAAATTATAATACCCCCTGCAAGGGTATAATAAAAAATGGCCTTGTTGGCTTGGAATTGGCTAAAAAATATATAATGTAAAAGAAAAAAAAAAATTTTTATTATTTATTAGATATTTTAATCCATTTTTTTATTTAAAAAATTTTAAAGTAAAATTAGTTTATTTAAGGGGAATATTTACTTATGACCTAGTTTCCTGTAGTTACGTTCTATATTTAAGTACAATCGTTGGTTCGCTGACCGGGTATGTCCCTTAGTTCCTGATTGAGAGTCCTTAGCAATGGGTGTTTTCCGCATCCACAGCGGCCATGAAAGTCGTCCAAATCAAGGGCCCAAATCATGCCCCCACCCAGTTTCATATTTTTTACGTACTGTGCTTTTCTGCGAATGTCCGTTACATCGTCGTAGGATACCCACTGGTTGCCACTGTAGGCATAGGGACCAATACGACCATAGGGATCTCTAACCACCTTCCATCCCCCTTTGTTGATATTGTCGCATATTTCGTAGTAGGCTAAGAATCCACCAGCGCGTGTGTAGGTACCTGCTTTTCCGGGTCCTATAGTTTTGTCATTTAACGACCTTTGTTGTTGGTTTTCCAGAGAAAAGGACTGACCGTAAAACGGCATACCCATAACCAACTTGGATGCAGGTGCGCCTTGATTAAGCCAGTAATGGATGCTAAAATTACTGTTGAAGTATGGGTTAATGTCCGTTTCAGAATAGTAAAGTGGTGCTACGTGACCCGTTTGCATGTCCCAGTGTCCATGGAAATCGTAAGTCATAACAGCAATCCAATCAAAATACCGGGACAGCTGTGGAATATCGTAACCTGTATCGATCACCAACTTACTTGGCGAAACTGCAGCAGAGAGAAGAAGGTTTTTGGGCTTAAAGGCATTCGATAATTCGATAACTAAATTTGTGAAACCTTGCTTCTCCGCAGGGGAGCCTTTGGAACAGTCAACTTGCCAGCATACTGGGTACTCCCAATCCAAATCTAAGCCATCGAAGCCGTATTTTTCAAGAAAGCCTAAGACGCTTGAAATAAATTGCTTCCGAGATGATGGGTTCAGCACTAAACGTGCATATTTACTACCCAATGAATCGTTCCAACCTCCAATGGCTGCCGTCACCCGTATTCCGTTCTTTTTGTGTTCTAAAACGCGTTCATAGAATCGGTTGTCTATGTCAGCCCATGAATCATGCGTTTTTACGGTCAGTGTATTGCTGTCAAGAACTATAAAGCCATAGACGATATGAGTGCACAGGTTGGTGTCAATGTCCTCTGGCACAAATTTTCCTTGCCCAGGTCGATACCAAGCCCAATTAGTGAAATAGCAAACCACTTTGTAAAATGATTCCTCTGTTGTGGGCTTATATAAGGCGTTGGAGTTGGAATCTGGGGGGCTCGCCGGTCTCTTTGTGGGATCAGGTTTCAAATTTTCATAAGTGGGTGTAGGACGGTTCAAAACTGGCGCCTTTGTGGTTAGGTCCGAATGAACCGAGCAGTTTGAATTTGTAGGCCAGTCGCAGTGGTTTTCATTCCAATGCAGACCCGAAGGGCATCTGTTAATTAAATAATTTATTATAATTATAATTAAATAAATAAAATAATCATTTACATTTTGTTGGGATAAATATTTAGTAAAAATTATAAAGGACACCTATAGTCGAGTTTCACGACTATTTTATATCAGGTACTCATTTTTTTCGTTTTTTCGACTCCTTTTTTCTCGTTTAACGAAAACTGCGCAATACTATAAAAATTGTAATGTCGAATTTAATAGGCCTTCCTCGTTCACTCATTGGAAATGCGCCACAATGGAAATCAGAATATACTTATATGTATATGCATATAATATAGATTTCCCTAAATTTGGTTTTCCTATTATTATTTATTTGGTAGTTTTTATGTTCATGTTTTGCATATAGAATTTAACCGTTTCGCGTATGCTGTGGTATAGTTGGTGGCGAATTAATAATTTGTTTAATTTCAATGTCAAGCCTAGCTCGGCTCTGCTTTTTTATCTTCTTTTTTTTTGTGGTGTAATTGAGGTCTTATCTCTATTTTTGAAATTTTCCCTTGCCCACTGCAATCGCTCTATTCAAAGCTCTATTTTTATACCCTTGCAGAGGGTATAATATTTTTGGTCAAAAGTGGGCAACGCAGTGAAGGAGACATCCCCGACCCTATTTATTCGTGATCAGGATCACCTCCTGAGTTGATATGAGCATATCCGTCTATCCGTCTGTCTGTCAGTTTCTACGCAAAATAGTCTCTCAGTTTTAAAGCTTCAAATAGTCTCTCAGCTTTTTTATCTTTAAGGGGAGGGTAAGGTCAAATCAAGCGAAAAAAGCCATGTTTTTGTGATATTTTTCCTGACGACACAGTTAAAATTTATTTATTCAACCAACGGTATATTAAAGTATGACATTTAAAGAATGTTCTATCAAATTTTTACAAAACAATATTTAAAAATATGGCAATGGTAGCAATTGTCCGGACGTGTCGCCAAAAAAAGTTGAATTGCGGTGCCCCTCATAACTCGGTGCTGGATCATTTGTAATCAAAAAATGAAAATTCATTCGTTAGATAATAGTTCGCCACAGGTAACGCTGTAAAGGTTTTTTGAAAATTGCAATTTTTTAATTTTTTCGAAGACTTTGAAGTGAAAAACTCAATTTTTTGGGAAAAAAATCGGTTAATTTGTCATTGCGAAATCAAAATTATAAAAAAAAAAAAACAAAAAAAAACTCGACAGCGTTACCTCGTAAAATATGTACAGAAATAGTGTTTTAAATTTCAAAAGGATCGGTGCAGTAGTTGTGAAGCTATGAGGGGCACCGACTTTGAAAACGTGAGTTGTGGGAATAACGCTTTAAAGTTTTAAACAAAACAAAATCCAGTGTAAAACGTTTGCAAGCAACTTCGTCAATAACTAATAACTTCGTCAATTTTGCTCTAATTGACTTGAAATTTTGACACAATATTCTTGAGATATTATGCATTCAATTTAAAAAATAAAAAAAAAATGACAAAAAAAAAATTTAATACCTTACCCTCCCCTTAAACAAGAAAGGAAAGCTAACTTCGGGCGGAGCCGAAGTTTATATACCCTTGCAGCTAAATCCGGATATATATCGCAAACATCGGATATAGTTGGCCGATCCTTATGAAATTTGGTAGGATGGATCAAAATATAATCTGTACCAAGTTCCAGCTTTCTATCTTCAAAAACACAAAAGGTGATATTTCTACCAAATACCATTTCCGATCGTTCAGTTATATGGCAGCTATAGGATATAGTCGGCCGATCCTAATGAAATTCGGTAGGATGGATCAACTGGCCAAAAATAGAATCTTAATAAAGTTTCAGCTTTCTATCTTCAAAAAAACGAAAGTTGGGTCATTTCCGATCGTTCAGTTATATGGCAGCTATAGGATATAGTCGGCCGATCCTTATGAAATTTGGCATGTCGTATTATTTTGCCAAAAATAGCTTTCATGTCAAATTTGAACTCTCTAACTCTAAAAGCACCAAAGTTATACCATTTCCGATCAATCAGTTATATGGCAGCTATAGGATATAGTCGGCCGATCCCGGCCGTTCCGACTTATATACTGCGTGCAAAGGAAAGAAGGGTGTGTGCAAAGTTTCAAGACGATAGCTTTAAAACTGAGAGACTAGTTCGCGTAGAAACAGACAGACGGACAGACGGACAGACGGACATGCTCATATCAACTCAGGAGGTGATCCTGATCAAGAATATATATACTTTATAGGGTCGGAGATGTCTCCTTCAGTGCGTTGCACACTTTTGGACAAAATTATAATACCCTCTGCAAGGGTATAAAAATAAATAAAACAAGAAAGGAAAGCTAACTTCGGGCGGAGCCGAAGTTTATATACCCTTGCAGTTAAAACCGGATATATATCGCAAACATCGGATATAGTTGGCCGATCCTTATGGGAATAGGAATATATACTCCAATTTATTACAATACAAAATCTAAAAAAAGTCCCAAACTTCTATCTTCAAAAATACGAAAGTTGATATTTCTACCAAATACCATTTCCGATCGTTCAGTTATATGGCAGCTATAGGATATAGTCGGCCGATCCTAATGAAATTTGGTAGGTTGGATCAACTGACCAAAAATAGAGTCTGTACTAAATTCCAGCTTTCTATCTTCAAAAAAACGAAAGTTGGGTCATTTCCGATCGTTCAGTTATATGACAGCTATAGGATATAGTCGGCCGATCCTTATGAAATTTGGCATGTCGTAATGTTTTGCCAAAAATAGCTCTTGTGTCAAATTCGAACTCTCTAACTTTAAAAATACCAAAGTTATACCATTTCCGATCAATCAGTTATATGGCAGCTATAGGATATAGTCGGCCGATCCGGGCCGTTCCGACTTATATACTGCGTGCAAAGGAAAGAAGGGTGTGTGCAAAGTTTCAAGACGATAGCTTTAAAACTGAGAGACTAGTTTGCGTAGAAACAGACAGACGGACAGACAGACAGACGGACAGACGGACAGACGGACAGACGGACATGCTCATATCAACTCAGGAGGTGATCCTGATCAAGAATATATATACTTTATAGGGTCGGAGACGTCTCCTTCACTGCGTTGCACACTTTTGGACAAAATTATAATACCCTCTGCAAGGGTATAAAAATTCTTGCCCCTATTCAAGTTACTAAGTTAGTTCTTGAAAACATTCTAAATACAAATTCCAAAGATTGAGTTTCAAGGGATTTGACCCATGTAAACACGAGATAAGCAGCATAGTTTAAAACCGTTCCCCTGTAGCCTAACACAACTACATAAGTGGTGCGTTGTCGCACTTAAGAAAGGGTCGCATAGCAGGTCAGCTTGCAGTGCGTTGATAAGTAGTTTTAAATAGGTTAAAGATTTTCATGTATCCTACTTATAAAGGAACTACCAAATAAAATCAGTTTCTAAACACAATTCATTGGAGTACGACCTTATTTTGGGGCTCCTCTTAACATTGTATATAAAATTTCTAAAGATAGAGTTTTAAGGGAACGGACCCATGGAAATACGAGACAAACAGTATGGTCTAAAACCGATGCTGTGCAGCCTACACAAATACATAAGTGGTGCGCTTATCGCAAGGGTCGCATAGCAGGTCTGCGTGCAGTGCGTTGATAAGTAGTTTTAAATAGATTTAAGATTTTCATGTATCTTTCTTATAAGAATTTTACAAAAAAAAAAAAAACAAAAAAAAAGAAATTCATTGGAGTAAGACCTTTATTTGGGGCTCCTCTTAACAATAAGTGATAGAACTATCCGATTTGGAACGTGGATCCGTACGATATCCCCGCAGATCCCCCACATCTGGAAGCTTGCTTTCGAAGAAACCATGGAACCACATCTGGATACCACATCTGGAAGCTTGCTTTCGAAGAAACCATAATACCACATCTGGAAGCTTGCTTTCGAAGAAACCATGGAACCATCGAACAATTGAACAGATTAACATCCGAAATACGCTCAGCCTTCGAACAGCGAGAATACTGCAGCGCTATTTTCCTCGACGTATCTCAAGCTTTCGACCGAGTTTGGCTCATCGGACTCATGCACAAAATTAAAACGTATTTGCCAACATACACCCACAAGCTACTGGAATCATACCTCTACAATAGGGTATTCTCAGTAAGATGCAACGCAGCTACTTCGGGCGACTACACCATCGAAGCTGGAGTTCCACAAGGAAGCGCACTCGGCCCGTGTCTATATGTTTTGTATACTGCGGATATCCCTACGAGCGCACAACTAACAACATCAACGTTCGCCGACGATACAGCTATCCTTAGTCGCTCCAGATGCCCAACGCAGGCAAAATCCAACTGAAATTTGGCATGTCGTATTATTTTGCCAAAAATAGCTCTCATGTCAAATTTGAACTCTCTAACTCTAAAAACACCAAAGTTATACCATTTCCGATCAATCAGTTATATGGCAGCTATAGGATATAGTCGGCCGATCCCGGCCGTTCCGACTTATATACTGCGTGCAAAGGAAAGAAGGGTGTGTGCAAAGTTTCAAGACGATAGCTTTAAAACTGAGAGATTAGTTTGCGTTAAAACAGACAGACGGACAGACGCACATGCTTATATCAACTTAGGAGGTGATCCTGATTTAAAATATATAATCAGACCTTATAAGGTCGGAGATGTCTTCTTTACTGCCTGCCATCCAACCCTTGCAATTAATATAGGATATACATACATACATCGCGAATATCGGATATAGTTGGCAGAGCGTTTTAAGAATTTTATTTTAAAATGCTTAAAAACTTTAATTTAAAAGTTTAATTACACCAATCCACGTTATATAAAGCATTTCTTAAGGGTTCTTAACCAATTTATAAAAAACTTTGAGCCAAGAGCAAATTTTCAAGCAACTCTGACAGGCCCGGCATAAATCAGCGGTCAGCTTTGTCTGTTCGGATTGGTATACGAACTACCGAACTGAGCGGACGTGCTTTGTCCGAGCTCCGGGAAAACTGCACCATAATACAGCTAATCAA